AATCAGGCATCGGGCCAGAAGAATCAAACATTGCGCTAAGATCAGATATTGTAAGAGTCAACATGTTCATGGATTGGACAATACACCAAAGGAAAGCACGACACATTGGGAGTTTGGATGAACCAATGACATACTGGATACCATAATATTCATATTGTGTAATCATTTTTGCCTTGATCACCGTTGTTTAGGTTTTAATCGAGTTAGTTTTTTGTGTAACCATGCCAACTCAATTAGGGGCTCATTGAGCCTGAATCGAGACTGATTTGGGCTTAGTGAAAGGCCTATTCAGTACCTACAATTGGGTCAGGCGGTGGCACCACCAGACCAGGTCGTAAAACTGCCTATGAGCTAGAATGTACGAAGTATACGTTTCCGAAAGACTTGGCGATGGTACCACCAATGTTAAGCAGTGGTACCACCCAGACTAGTGGTGGTATCACCAGAACACAATCTTCGAGACTATGTCAAGTGGTAGTACAACCTAAACTAGTGGTGGTACCGCCAATGCTAAGTGCTACAGGTGGTGGTATTGCCTAACACTAATAATAGTACCATCAATACCCCAAAAACCCAAGGATGAAAGTTTTTAGATCTATTTTTGAAGTCATTTGGGGCCTATAAAAATCATTAGTAAAAATCGATGGCCTCGACAAAAGAAGAATCGGGAGTGGACATAAGTCATGATGATCGAACCACTATAAATATAATATGCATTTCCTTTATGTTTTTCATTCTTATTGCTTATTGATTTAGTTACTCACTACTTTTACTCACATTCCAAGTTAAATATATTTCTGATACAGGTTTGATCGAATGAATTTTTTTGAATCATTTCAACTTTTCGAAAGCACTAATTTGAGCCTAGGATGTGTCACCCTCCAATTTAACTATAGGGTTTGCAATGAAATCTCCCATGGGTGACAATCTATCGATAGCCCCCATGTCGGCTTAAGAGAGCCCTTTGTGAGCTTAGACTAATGACTCCAAATATCACACATGAACCTCTCCCAATTGATAAGACATAGTTCATATATAAACAAATGAGCTAGGGCACTTTCTTAAACCGAGCAGGGTGTTTGGTATCACTCTGATGGCCCAAGGGTTTTAGGTCATCTTGTTATTACTCTCCTCAAGGACATGAGGAGGGTCTATTTCACCTCACCTTGGGAGCTAGGGTATTTATCATTGTCCTCCCTTGCTCCCTTGGGAGAACTTTTAATCAACTAGCCGCTTGTCAAGGGCCAATGTCAAGATGTATCAATTCTTTTTTACGATGAGTGGTGGACAACCTAAGTGCTTGATAATACCCTTAGTTGCTTTTACTATTGCTTTTGCTTCCATTGTGTTGCTGCTTCTCCACCATTGGAGAGGAGTCTCTTGACTTCTTTTTGCCCTTTTTATCATAGGCATGGTAAAGCCTTCTATTAAGATCCATGTTTATCTATAAAAGAAAAAATAAAAAGAAAATCAAGGTTAAAAAATGAATATGAGGAGCCTCACTTATCGACCTTGAGCATGAGTTTGGTATTTATGACCCACCATGTACTCATCTTAATGATAGCTCAAGATATTCAAGTAAATTATTCTTTCTCAATCTCGACTAGCTTCAAGGGGGAGATATGTAAACTTTCGGATGGTTCAAGCAAGACTAAATGGTTACCCCTTCTCGAAGAAATATAAAAAAATAATTTCTTTTCGACCATTATTTGTGCTCAAGATGCTCAAGCCATACAACCACTTCAAATTGAAAGGAAATAAGTCATATAGTATATATTATGGCATGTATGAAATATAGCATTAGATAAAGTTGAGATTGTGACACTCCCCGACAAATGTTGCAAGATAGTGTCATGTATTTGATACTATTTGAGAGGGCAATATCCACAATCCGGAAGACCTTACTAAAGAAAGAATAAAGGGAAAACCAAAGTCCTACTCTAACTATATCTATGTAAGTGCAAAAATAGTGATTTGATATATAAGATTGATCACTTGTATGCAACTATAAGCTCAAACTTGAGTGAAATGAGACACTCATACTAAATATGGTTTGAGTCCTCATCATTGATACCAGAGTCAAAGTCAAAAGAGTCAATTATAAACTATTGGGCTCAACTATTTGAGGGATTAGTCTCTAAGAGGACAACCTCCCTAGGCATAGCAACTCTGACGATTTTCATCAAAGGAGAAAGAGAGGTTGATGGGTATTGAAGGAGGGGAGAGAACTAGTCCCTAAGTGATTGGCTTGAACCTAAAAAGAATAAAGAGGAAGAACAAGGCATCCTATACTTCAAAGAAAGAGGGATTCGAAAGTTCATTGAGACATTCTAATGCTCAAAAGTGAAGGCATGAAGAAATGAAGGTTGGGTGCCCCACTTATAAAGGGGTTGAGTAACCCTTGTGTTTTGATATCAATTCCTTCATTTGACTAATGGTTTAATCGGAGAATGGAGTGATGATAATATATTGATTATTGAAGATCAACCATTAGGATCGTGATCTCCGTGGATCATCGACAGTTTCGTTGAGTATCATGTGGAGCCCTCCAATTAGCCCATGAAAAACCAACCATTAAAAATTGATTATGAATCACTAGAAACAAAATCAAATTAGATCAAATACTATCATCAATGCAACCCATGATAGTTACACTTGTAAAGATATAAAATGATAGTGATAGATGAGCAAATCTAGACTATCTTAGTGCCTATTACATAAATAGGAACTCAACAATAAAGGACAATGACATATGTGGCTCACATGAGGCCTGACCATGATATAACCTATTAGGGTTGGTAAGTATTTTTAGGAGTCATAATAATATTTAAATTAGTTAAGAAAGCCTACTTAAATTAAAACTCTTTAGTAAGTTAGGATTTATTTCTTTAAATACATCTTGTGTCTCAAGATTTTAGTGAGTGAGAGAGAAAGAGTTAGACACTTTTAGTGCTTCTTCTAAGGATGATCTTTAAGGTTTTTAGAGATGATTGAGAGAAAAATTCTTCAGGTTTATGTTAGAGGTATACAAAGAGAGTTGTACCTAAGTCGGGATAACTCAAGGGCATTATATTGATATTATATATTGAAGAATTTGATTTTCTTCATAGAGGTAAGCATAATTTATCAAAACACGTTAATTCTTGCATCAATTTTTAGTATAATTTTTTTATTGTTAATCTCTAGTAGATTTCTCTTTTGGTTTTTAGTTTTTAGGAGGGTAAATGATCTTCTTATTCAATAGGGCTTAATAAGAATATTAAAGAGATGAATACGATTCTCTTTGAAATCAAGTATTGATTTGGTTCTAACTATACAGGATTCATTGGCTAACTTCTTTTTTGGAATCAAATATTTTTTTTATTATGAACTAATTCGATTTGTATAGTTGTAAAAATTCTTTAAGCCAATAGTTCAATTTCTACAAGAGACATAAAGTGAGAAAATATTCATCAAGATGAATGTTTTTAGGATTAAAAAGTATTTTTATAAGTCCTAATTATATTTAAATTAGTTAAGAGAGTCTTAGTTAAATTAAAACTTTTTAGTGAATTAAGGTTTGCTCCTATAAATATATTTTAATTCTCAAGGTTCTAGTGAGAGAGAGGGTCCTTAAGGGTGATTTCTAGGGTTTTCATAGAGGGCTAATAGAAAAATATTTTTGTGAGAGGTGTACTATAGGAGTTGTACCTGAGTAAAAATTAAGGGCCTTATAATTAATATCATATATTGAAGAATTTAATTTTTTCTATGAAGATACACAGACTTTCTCAGACCACGTTAAGTCTTGCATCAATTTCTGATATGTTATTTTGATTGTTGATATTTAGTGGATTTCCTTTTTCGTTGTTGATTTTTCTCTTCTCTCTTCCTAATACAAATGATTTCGTTTCTGATATGTAATCGAACTTATCATTAAGCATTTATCAACTATGATATACTAAACCGAATATGAATCATTGTTCAATGACAATGCAATTAAATATGAATATGACGATGAAGCATTATTGATGATGATGAGATGGAACCTAGCCATGGGGCATATCAACCACAATGTAACTAAACCCATCCACCAAGCAATGTATTGCTTGATGACGCTATCGAACTTGGTCACAAAGTATTCCCTAACCATAATGCAACTTAACCTGACAATAAATATGGCGATGTCAAATGCATCGTAACCATCACATGATGATCACAACGTTTCATAATCTTTACTACTAATAATTACCAACAATTTTGCATAAACATCCCATGAATTGATGTCTGCTTATTTCAATTTAATGATTCTTTCATCGCACTATGAAAACCTTAAGTGTATCTTTGACTCAACATGAGAAGAATTCTCTCCTACTTTTTCTCTTGTGTAGTTTTTGAAGTATTATCCGTGAAATGCCTTGTCTACCAAACATCAAATATGTAGCAAACTTAGAAAGTTGCATCTATGTTAGATCCAAGTCTTTAAAAGTGTCGAACAATCGAAATGAAATTAATAATAATATATCTAGAAATATCCTTAGCGAAAGATCATGAGCGGCCATAGCAATATTTATTGAATTAAAAATATTCTTCGGATATTTTTCATTCGATTTCATGTAATGCTTATAATATGGAAAATAAGACATGAAATTTCAGTAAATTAAACCAAAAATCAGACAAACGGATTGATTATACCAGGAAAAGGTTACAAATTGGTGGGCGGATTCTCAACAAATAAACGGATATCACGCCACTCATGCTTCATGACACGGACATAAGTAACGCCCTTGCGATGGCCATGTCGATGACACAGGCGTGACAGGAGCACCAAGTGTCTGGTGAAATCCACGTGGAGGACAAGTAGACACTTGGTCAACCGTGAGGACCGATAGGCCCATTACATTCATGTCAAGCATCGCGCTCCTCACATCCGGGCCGGGCCGGGCCGGGCCGGATCGGACCGATGTCAAAATTCTGGGTCAAAAGTGGAACGCCACACATCCGACGACTGTCGAGGGGCGTATCCGATTCCAAAAGCACAGTGCCCCAGACACCCACCGTAGCGATCACCGTCACCCGCCGTCAGCTCTCGTCCAAATATCTCTTCTTTTCTCCTTCCAAAACCCTAAACCTCCGGACCACCGATGGCCAACCATCAAGGAGGAGGAGGAGGAGGAGCCGGAGGACTCATCGGCCACGCATCGCTGCCTCCTCCAATCCCCGCTGGCGACCAGACCGTCTGGGCTGATGCCGGTCCCCTCATCGTGGCCTCCTGCAGTGGTAATCTTCCTCCTCTCTGTTTTCTTCGCCCTCTAATCTTGGATTCTCATCTGTTTTTCTCTTGATCTGACATTCTTCACGATTGTTATTTTGCTAGTTTTTTGCATGATGGTGTTCGATGCGTGTGTGATCTTTGATCATCATCTGTTGCTTGTTCTTATGGTATTCTCTTGATATATGTACTCTTCGAGTAAATCTGTTTTCTTGAATGATGATGTTTGCGCCTACATCATGCGCGAGGATATGACGGTCAGTTGTGGAGGCTGACGATGTGGTCGGTCAATGCATTGGAGAGGGCATGGTCCCAGTAATGAGTTCCCTGCTCTTTTACTTGGTTTTATGGTTCCTTGAGAAATGACATATTAAGATGCTGAAAAGTAAATGTTAATAAAACATGGCGAAAGCTAGCTGATTTGTGAAGGAACCTGCCATTCTCGTAATCTGATGAACCATATTTGTGGTCATGGTTGAAGTGACTGAATTACTGCATGAATTTACTCTTAAATTCTAAACATAACCAGGTAGTTTTAGTTGGCATGCGATATCATCACTGTCACCCAGCATAAATTAACTGGCCGTATGGACTCTTTTGCCCATACCCTTACTGTGTCACATATGTGTGCGTGTATCCATGAATTAGGCATTTATTGTGATTTTAATTATTCTATTCCAATATCAGATAAGATGCTAATATAAGAAGTGTCCTGATATTTAAGATTTTCAGAACATTATGTTCAGAAAACATAAGGATTTTATTTCTGAAAAGTAGAAGTTACAAAGATTAGTCTTGATAGGGTTTTTGGTCTCATAGTCTCCCTCATTTATAATATATTACGACTTGATCCTGTTTAATTGATTATTATTAAAATGCGTGTGATTGATACTCTTGTTTGTTCTTTTTCTCCTTATCACTCATTCTCATAAGGACTTTTAGATGCTTAAGTATCCTCGAGTTTGACATGCCACTGGGAAGGAGTCTTTGAGTCCTTCAGACATCAGATAAGAAGTTAGTTAGACTCTTCTTTGTCCTTGAAGTTGGGCTACTGTGTCCTGCGGACAACAAATTGCTATAATAGGCAATTGCCTTGTTGGGGGCTTCATATTAAATAAAAATTTAGATGCATGCTAGGATGTGCAAATTGTACGAATTGCATGGGGTAGATTCATGAGCAAAGTGGAACATGAGATTGCACAAACAATACCTAATACGTGGAAGGGGTGGAGTCATTGTGGCTTTGTAGCTAATTTCTTCCACAGATTCACCTTGTCTAGAAAGAACTCCATCGTATAACCATAAACCATGGTTTAAATGCTAGTCCAATATAGGTTTCAATTCATTCTAGGATCTTATATACCAATTTGTACCATCTGGTGTCATTTAAAGAATAACAAAGAAAAAGAAGGATAATGATTAGTACCAAACCAGATGGTCTTATATCAGTCCTTGGTTAGACCAATAAATAAATATCGATCAGGGACATATCAGATAAGTGTTGGAACATGCCGTAAGTAGCTGCAGTTATTATCAAAGGGGTTGAGAAAGTACTCATAATGGTAGTCTCATTGTCTTCGACGTTGTGCTTGACTTGCTTTCCTTTGTGCTTGTAGTTTATCATGCTTTATTAGGAATTATGGAAGTCTCAATGTCTTTAGCCTAAAAAATGACTTGCTTTCCTTTGTGCTTGAAGTTTTTCATGCTTTACAGGAAAATCCAAATGACAGCTTTAATTTGATCAACAAACCACAACATGCCCAAGATGATGTCAATGTCCTTAAGTGGATGAAATATTTACATGGAACTATTAACTTAAATTTTCTAGTGGGATTTGCTTGCATCATTTCTAACATGCAATTTACCATCTGTCAACCAAGACACCAAATGATATAATTGATTGCATCTTAATTTTCACTCTCTGAAGGAGTTCAGAGCTGTGGGTTAAACTAATGTCAACTAGCGTAGTGATTGGATATATGTGCAAAAACTTTGGTATATTTCTTTGGTAGTGGAACTAATTGCAAGTGAGATGCTTTTCTACTTCAGCTTTTTTGTCATCTTCGTCAGCATCATGGTTGAAGCATAGGCCCTTCCTTTTGAGCTCCATCTAACTCGACTATCATAAAAAACATGATGGATATTGGCTTTTAATTTTTTAAATAAAAGGTAGATACTTGGAATATACTTCCATATATATTTTGTGTAGATGAAGTTGACTTTTACTAAAAAATGTTGATCCTGAATTAGTATTAATTGTCCATGTTGTAACGTCTAGATCATACATAGGGTTATAAGCGATTGGCTTAATGATGCATTTGCCTATTTTAAGCTACTTATACAAACTCAATCTTTGAAGGCATTATTGGTCTAAGGGGATAAGGTTGCTCAAGGTGGCACTAATCAGATCAGTGAAAGTTTATTTCATTGTGATTAATTTCTATGGCTTAAGAAAATTTCAGCAATTTAATTTATTGGTAGGATCAACATCGATATAGACTAACCTTATCTGTGTTAGCTTGGGTTGCATGTGATTTGTTGATAGGATCAAGATAAGCTGGATCAGTGTGGATTTAACCTAGACTTGTGTGTTTTTGGTTACATCTGCACAAATCTAGTATATATTTGCTTGCCTTTGCCCAAGATCCACAAACAACCAGGTTAGATCCACGTGGGTTGGTTTGGATCCACGCATGGTAGATAGTCAAGTTCGTCGTACTGACCTATATCGCTTGATATGGGCGGAATGTACCGGTTTGACAGGGGACTAATATGCAGACCATCCGTTACTGGGTGGTACCCGTTACATGACCTCGTATCGGGTAATATAGGGTTTGTACTGGTCGATAACGAGTTTTTAAAACCTTTGCTTCACCATGCTTGTCCTCTCAGCATGTAATGGCAAAGGTTGTAAAGAATCAAGTCAAGCGATGAGACATCTTATCAATCACATTCAACAACCCGCTTGGTTCAGAGACATGGCAACGATGTGGACGACAATGCCTCAACCAATGATGACGACGATGTCGAAGAGTCGATGGTCCCGTCTACACAATTAAAGAGTGGTGCATGGATCGAGGAGTAGTATTTTATACATGCCACGCCACCCAAAATTTAGATAATAGAGCTTGACGAGGTACTGGTCAAGTTTATACATGGAAGGGGAAGGGGAAAGAGAAGGTAGTGGATTTTTTTGGGTAGATGTGATAGAGCCTGTACGATGTAGACACAAAGCGAAGCTCATCGTATTCGCAGTCGTCATATTATGGAGAATCTTACGGCCAACAGTAATATAGTGATAGTTGGTCATACTTCTCCGAGCAGTAGTACGATAATCAATCTTATGATATGGAGTAGCACATCAGTGACAAAAGTAAAAGTTCTAACATTTTTCATGCTTCGCACCAATACATACTACAATTATCCTTGACTTAGGAGCTGTCTCGAACACATGTGGTTCACAACGATCAAACTACGATCATCATCACATTGATGTACTAATGGTATATGATGTATCAGTATATAATGTCGTGTGATCATTTTTAGGATTGGGTCTGACAAACATATCAAATTGATATAAAGATACATAAGATTGAGGACCCCAATCCAACGCCCATGGAGTCCTATCATTCTTTTTGGTGGTAGCATCAAGTATATCCATCGATTGATTACTTGATTCATTTGAATCTTAAAATTTAAGTTGCTTAAAAAATAATTTAACAATTCAAATAATTTTTTTGTAAATAATTCAATATTAACAAAAAGAAGATTTGTAACGTATCATAAAGTTCTTTCGTAAAGTTTGAAAAAGATATCGGTCACTGTTCTTTTTTAATTTAGATTATTTTTGCTAAAATTATACAATTTATATTTATTTCCAACTTAAAAACCCTAATCCTATTTTTTTATAGAAATTTTTAGAGCTATTTTTGGTAATTTTATTGTATCATTGGTACACCTAGATGTACCGACATATGGTACATCAGTATACCTTGGTACGGACCGGTAAGATGAGCCTTGGCTTGATAACACACTAATTTGATCTAGATTGATACATAAAGCCGACCTGCTATGTAAGTTTGACCTCAATTAACATGACTAAAATGTTGTCTAAATGCAACAAAATAACAATGTAGCTAGAAAATATTGCATGAAAAAGAAAATAATGACTAGAACAAGAAATTTAGTTTTGAACTTAATTTGGTAAGGATGTTTTCCTTGCTTGAGATTTAGACCAAATAGCTTTAAAATGGAAGAGGTAGGCTTGAAATAGGGAGTGAAAGAGGGCTCTTGAGCTTTAACAAATGTTGGTAGAATTTGAAATGTTTTGGCTGAGTTTTTGATCAGTTGGGAGGTTTATTGCTTGGTGTGGCTATTATATCATCCAAATATTGGGTTGTAAGTCTTAGCATTATCAATAAGCACTTTGACACTAGCTTAGGCCACACCTGAGCACCTCAAATTAACCAGGTGACGCGATTTGGCTTGGGCGATGCCTAGATGTTGGTTGTCCTAGGTACATTGGGCTCTGATCCATTCAACTAGACTAGACCCAAGCCAGATCTGACGAACCATATCCAAGTCCCCCTCTACCTGCATGTTTACCTCTCCTTGTGCTTCATTTGTTTCCAAGCCATAACCCGATGGTAGTCTCTTATTCTATTTTGGTGTCGTTGCTCTGCCTCTTGGACTCCTTCGTCGGTCTCTTCTCCGCTTGCTAGTCTAAATTTAAGTCTCTCCTTTGGGCTCCTCTCTACACTCTGAGTTCTTCCTCAGTCTCCTCTCAACTCTTCATAGTCGATCTCTCCTCCTTAGTCTCTCTTCTGCTTGGTGGTCTCTCCGTCTCTTCTCTCAATTATCCATTTCCTTCTCAATCCCCTCTTAGTTTCCTCTCAGCACTCCATCACGAGTCTTCGCCACTTTCTCTTCACCATTGGGTGTTCATCACCCTCCCAATCTCTTCTCTGCTCTTCTCCAGCCCCTTGCTCTTCATCGTCGGAAATCCACTATCCTCTCATCCACGTTATCTGTTACTAAAGGCATTGCACTATACCTCTCCCCATTTCATTTTATATGGTTGGTCTAAAATCAATAGTCGTTCTCCCTTTCCGCTTATATTTATTCTTAATTATATTTTTTTCATAATTTTTTACATTAGTGAGGGCCTTGCTTCGACTGGGGAGGTGCGTAGGTCAGCGCCTAGCGCTTCGGGTGTTTTAGAATCTTGGTGCCTTTTAATGATCGATGCATTTGACAATACTTGTAAACATACTATTTTAAGCTTCCAGCAAGACCAGTATCGGTAGGTATAGTTATGTATACCCTAGTATACATGCTGTCTCATAGTTGGACTTGATATGCTCAATGGTGTGTGCCACTCATGTTGTTATTTGATTCCTTGCCTTTGATACTTAATATCTATTCCTATCTTCTTTGCTCTACTTATTCTTGGTTTATAGATAATATTTTGTCATCAATGTAACTTTAAAGTAAAATATTTAAACAAGTTTTAACGAAACTGCTTCATCCAACTATATGATAGGTATATAGTACTATGGATTTGCATGTTATGTGATGTGTTAGTTCTCAATTGTCTTTTAGATGACAGGCTTTTTGTTTGGTACGACCTAATATAATGCAAAAATTGGGCAATAAGCTCCGTATTTTAGGTTTATACATTGGTAAAATCAGTATAAATAGTACATCAGGTATACCTTGGTCGAGACACCGTTCTTGGTCCAATGATAAATACCAAATGGTAAGTGCAGTCGGATTGGTACTTGATTCCTTGCCTCTGATTTTTATTATCGACTCGTGTTTCTCTCTTCTTTATATTCTTGCTTTATAGAAAATTTGCCATTAACATAACTCAAAAGCAAGCTTTTTAGACAAGTCTCAACTGCTTTGTTCAATTATACGATAGATTTAAAGTACTATGAATCTCAATATTACATATATAACATGTTAGTTCACAACTGTCTCATCTGCACACTATTCCTCCACTATTGATGTAGAACAAAGGTGTGATAAGACAAACCTATACTCTAGAGCAGCTAATATGTTAGTTTGCAAATGTCTCATTTGCATGCTATTCCCTCTCAGTTGATGTAGAACAAACGTGTGGTAACCAAAACCAATGTTCTAGGGCAGCAAATAAGGTAACAAATAACTAAGATAAGTGAGATTATAGGAGTCAAGTCATAGAAGCTGCAGAAACATAGTAAAAGAATTGAATTTTGGAAGAAGAATCCATTATAGAAATGTGGAAGACAACTAAGGACAATCTGCCTCAAGAACCACTAATTTTTTCATCAAAATCTTATCATGTCATGATGCACATATTTCAGTCTTCAAGGCTTTGTTTATGGACTAGGTAAGACAATCAACTTCTACTAAGGATAGGGATTCTATCTTATCGTGCCTAGTTTGAACTCATTGTATCTCCCTAAAGATAAGATGGAGTCTTTTTCCTTTTCTTCATATCAATTGATCAAAAGGTACAACCCAAGTGATATTAAAGGCTTATACATTAGAAGAAAAAAATTGAATATGAATGCAATAGAAACTTAGAAAATCCATGAAAAGTTAAAAGAAATCTAATTTAGATTCATTCAAACTAAAATAAACGTAGAACCTCTTGTCTTGGATTGGGATGCATCAATTTGCTTTAAGTGCTTGTTCTTGAGATCACGTGGAGTAGCATAGTTCTTGATCTTCAGTTTTGTCTTGGCTTGATGCTCAGTGTGGATCTTGTTGCAGATTATTTTCCCAATTGCAATCATTTGAAAGTTGAGAACATATCTGGATTACCAGGGAAGAATATTTTTGTAATCTAAGTGAAGAACATATCTGGATTACAAGGGAAAAGTTGTAAGGATGATGAAAGGTCGAAGATCAAGAGTAAATATCAAAGTAGAAAGAAATAGGCAGAAGATAATTGTCTTTTTTCCAAGGATTTCCAAACTTACTCTGCGACCAAATCATACAAAACAAAGAAGTGTGGCAGGCCAAAACTACGCTCTAATTTGAAGTTGCATTCCTCAAAAGCTAGGGTTCAAACTGATGCAATGAATCATGGACTGTCGTACTGTGCCAAATGGTGGTATTGGTAAAATTCACAAAAAACCATGTTTTGGGTTTTTATCGTAATTTAATAGTAATTTTATTATATTTAAATAAGAATAGAGTGTATATGAGGCATAAATGAACATGGATTTATCTTTTATCCAAATCAATAGCTTGAATATCACTAATTGCCCATTAGGAATTATAATCACAAGAGTGTGAGAAAGAGTGAGAAAGAGAGTCAGTGAGAGTGGATAAAAGAGGGGATTTAAAGCCCCAGAAGAGGTACAAATTTGACTCAATTTGGGTTGGCATCAATCAAATTCCGATTGGTACCAATCCATATTGTTCGATATAATATGAGTTTCCACTGTATTGGCTGATACATCACTTGACTGGGAGATACCTAACATCCTTCCTACATACCACTTGAAATGGGTTGATCCGTGTACCAGTCAGCTAGTGCACTGGATGTATCCCCGTCATACCGTTTCGTGTGGTACATCAAGCAATGCAATGGATTATTGAATATAACTAAATTTATAGGAGCTGAAAAGGTGAGGGAATTAAAGCTAAGGAAGAAGAGGATTTGAAGATAGAAGATAACTTATTAGAGAGGGGAGGAACATAACTAAGGCCACTTGGCCTAAAGAAGCTTCTGTTATTTTATTAAAGGTTCATCGTGTCTTTGCCAGCCATATCTGAGCGATGCAAGAATTTATTTGTAGACAAAAGGGACTAAAACACACACTGCAGATAAGGATACAATCCTATCTTTTCTGGTATTAAAATCTTTTAAACTCCCTAAAGAAAAAGAGAAATTTTATCTTGCATATTTTCAAATAAATAAATGATAAAACTCAAAATGGTGCATATGCTAACTTGATGTAAGAGTAACATCTGCAGTGGTTGAGGCCTTTGTTCAGATTCAGGTGCACAGAATTGTGAGAGGTATTATTGCTGTTGAGCCATTGTTTGGTGTAAATAAAGGCAAACTATCACAGTCGGTTATTTCTTGTTAATCATTTTTGGCTATCTTTCTACTCTTATATCTACTATATTGGCAAAATTTTGTAAACTTATGTTTCTCTTGTACTTGGTTCAGAGCTTCAAGATGGTGAACTTATCCATGCGGAGAATTTCAGTCTTTTTGCTGCTATGTCTGCTTTGGAGGTCTGATTCATATATTCCATTCTGTTTTCTTTTGTTAGTCATAATCGGGATATCTGACAGATGATGTGTTAGTGATGCAAAAGACAGTTTTATGTACAACAATTTTATATCATTTGTATCACAAATAACTAAGCCGCAAAAACTTATTTCAGATGAATTTCAGATTTGAACTTCTAATAGATGGATTCAAATCTTGGATAAGAATTGTGTCAGGTGCAACAAACGAGTGATGTTTTACTCTTAGGGCAGAATTGAAGCTTGCAGCAAAAGAGTATACAAAAAGCTACCATTTTGAGTGGCTATAGGCAAATTTGAGGTCTAAAGGAGTATATAGGTATATATGGAACCTGAGAATAGCACAAACACCAAAATTTCAGTGTCTGTTTCTTTCATCACCTTCTGCACCAAAAGTCACTTACAACTTGCAATATTTTGTTGTCAATAAACAAGTGGTAAGTTCTTAGAGACAGGGCACTTTCTTAGATATCTATCATCTATAGATCTATACTATTATGTATGCAGAGATTTGATCATTAAGTTGATTCTCGATCGAACACTCCATCTATTCATTTTGGTAAAATTGATCTTGGCTTACCTGGCATGAGCTTGTTAGCATTTGTCACTGTTCAGTAAAAAATAATAAATAAATCTTTGGTTGCTTGATTAATGAAGCAATTTTTTCAAAGGCATGGTTGTCATTTGATTTGATAAAATTTTCTGTCATGCTTCTTAGATGTATAAACTCATTTTAATCTTCTAGAATGTACCTAAATCTCTTCAATATTCATTTCTACAATCATCAGTCCTTCATGCAGGATCTAAAGTTCCATCCATGATTGACATACTACTTCCATGACCTTGGCAGAAAAGTTTTTTCATTAGTAATATTTAATTGTTTATTTTTTTTACATGAGGGGCTCTTGTTTTTGAAAAATTATTTAAGGCCAAGATTGCTTGAGGCTTGTTAATATACTGTTATTGGTTTGTGTATTGCTGCTTTATGATCAATTTCTTAAATTTTGTTGGTCATTAGGCATATATTTCTACATTTAATATACATAACATCACATAATTTATTTATGACATACTAACTGGCACTGGCCTTTCTGGAAATCAAAATGGAGAGAAGCTGGTAGAATTGGGTATCTAATGTTTTATGCCTGTATGTTCTGATGCATTTGCAATATTCTTTTTAAGGCTTCTTCTTGAGTTGTGAAAACTGTTTCATTGTTACAGATAATGGACCCAAAGATGGATTCTGGAATTGAAAATAGTGGCTATCACTCTATAGAGGAAGCTATAGAAAACAATATTGCTCCAGTTCCTCTCAGTTTGGATTCTACCCTTGATGTTCAATGCATTTTGGATGTCATTGATCATCTTTTTTCTTGTGAGGTGCAATAAGTTGTACATCCCTGCATATTTATTTTGAGTATCCCATGTTTTTTTACATTTAACATAGTTCATTTTGACAGGCCACTTGGCACAAAGGTCATTCATTGGCACAGACAGTATTTTCATGCATATATCTCTTGAGGATAGAACGAACATCTCCACATTCTTTACTGCATTCCTATTGCAGAATCATGCGGGCTATTTGTAATGCTCTTGTCTCTGTTGTTTCTGATGCACGCACCAATGAGGTATATCCACATCTACTGACCTTTTATTGAGTTGGCATTCATTTGGATCAAAGTGGAGATAATTTTTTAATACAATCATTCACGTTTTGTTGAGGATTACAAGTATTTCGTTTTGTCTTATCAAGTTCATGTGTCATGAAAATTGTGGATATGCCATTGCCATCTGTCAGTGGTCTTAAGTGGAGGGTAGGACATGTATGCTATAAAAAATGCTCATTATCTCAAACCTCGGTGCGAACTTGTTTTCACGCCCTTTCTCGATCCTGATATAGCGTCGCCCTCCCTCGACGACTCCGATCCAGGAGGTAACGACGAGGAGAGTTGTAAAGACGAAGATCTAGAGGCGCAGGGATCATGGGAGGCGGCGGCTAGAGCAACGGAAGAGGTGGTCTCCTTCATTGCCTCGTCTGTGATTCTGCGGCCTTTTTTTTCGTCGCGTTCTTTGTCGAAAGTCGGAGATGTCTGCGGCCTTCGTCATGTTCTTCGCCAAAGGTCGGAGATGTCTGCAACCTTCGACGTCTTTGTCAAGGTTCGTAATTTTGTATCGTACCGGAGTTTCGAGCATTGCTTGATATGGTATGGTACGGGCGTACCGAGCGGTATGCTAGGGTGTACTGCTACCTTGGCAACGTTGCCTCCTTTTTCTTCTCCTCGTCGCATTAGATAAGGAGAAGATTGTGTCTTCTCCTCATCAGTGACGTTCGGCGAAGACGTCGAAGGCCGCAGACGTCTTTGGCCTCATCTGCGGTGTTTGGCGAAGACGTCGAAGGCCACATATGTCTCTGGTCTCCGACGAAGAACGTGGTGAAGGTCGCAGGCGTCTTAGACCTTCAACGAAGAAGAAGCCGAATCGTCGCCTCTTCGTTACCTCCTAGATCGGGATCGTTGAGGGAGGGTGGTGTCGGATCAGGAAGCGTTGAGGTTCTCCCGATTCTTCCTCTTCTTTGAGCGCGTTCTCCCTCTTCTCCCTCGATGTTTCTTGTTCCTTTGTCGTAGCTAGGTCGTATCGGGCAGTATCATTCGAAATTAAAATCCTTGGTCTTCATCGAATGCCATAAACGAGGCGACGAGGAGAAGAGGAGGTGACGTCGCCGAGGCTACGTATGTCGTTTATATATATATATATATATATATATATATATATATAT